TGCATAATAGTATTTTACTTTAAGATAATTTCAACAACAGGAAACTATTTTAGGAGGAGTTTCATCTCTTTGTTATATTATATTCATAATTCATATGCTTTATTTATTAAAGATAACCGTTAAAGATAAAGATCAAGCATAACCGTTATTAAATTATATTTTTTGAAAAAGTTTTCCAGAGAGTCAACATATTCAAAAATAAAATAAGTTTACATACCTACCTACCTAGTAAAATTATATAAATTTATCAAGAGCAGCGTCTGGTAATAAGACCGTCGCCTGTTGCAATCAAATTTTATAACTTTAGACGGTTAAACTCTTGAATTAAATGATTGTTCTTAATTAAGTCTATTCTGATAAGGCGTGGTTGTGAATTGTGATGTACTCTATGAGTCGTATTTCATTCAAACTAAACTTCCTTTGTGGTTAGAAGCATTGGTTCAGATTTTTATACAAAGTACGTACTACTTGGTTAGGGCTTAAATGTATGAATCACGGCTCATAAGCCAGTCGCTATGGAGTATGGAGCATTCTCACTCAGTCGCCGTTGTTTTGCGGTAGGACGCGCACGGCTGTAACAACGAAATATAAACTTTCACTTACGCGCGTACACATATTTTAAAGTGATTTGTGATAATTATGGAAACTGTGTAATAACAAATGAAATTTTATTTGTCATAGTGAAAGGAATTATTCTAATATAACTGTGCTTTCCTTGCCTTTATTGTGACTTGTTCAATTTAACTGGTTTTAAGTTTTATAAGTCTTTATTTTGAAAGTTAAATGTAAATAGTTATAAAGAAGAAATATGGCTAAAGACTACGGTAAGTTTTTGCATCTTTTATGATAATAAATATCTCACAGCATCTCTTTTGTAATAAAAAAAATGTTTTCTTTCCTGTTCTATTTTTTTTTGTTGTCTGAAATGTTTCGTTAAAGGTGAGTATAAAATACTAATATTTTAGTTTGTGATAATTTTTAGTGTTATTTCTGTTATTCTTGTTTGATTATTTGTGTTAAGAATCTGTTTTAATAGATGATAATTGAAGGCATTAAAACAAAACGGAAAATTTCTAAAAAGATCCTACACTCATTATAATAATCAAGGAGACGACCTTAGAAATATAAGTTTTTATGAGGGTGTTTGAAGATATTCATTACTTTATTTAATTGATTATATCTTTATCAGATTTATACATATTCAATTGAGTCAGTTTCTCGAGTGCTTTTGAACATATTATTATCAAAACAATAGTAGAATAAAAAAATATTTTAATGAAAACTTTCGGATATAATTCACATTTGTATAGCTTAGGTTAATTTCACATAGAAACATTATGAAACAATAATAAAAAAATAGTTTTTTGCATCTGCGTAAACACATCAGAATGACCACGGCTAGCGCTTGTAAAAACATTATACTCGTTAATGCTACGTCATAAAGCCGAGGACAGGAAACTCTCTATAAACAATTACACTCGCACTGATAACTTTTTTCCACGTATCAAAATATATCATAGCTCCAACTCGATAACACTTCGCGCCACACTAATTGGATTTGCATTTTGGTTCTAATAGGATACACAAGTATTTCTTAGATTTTCTTGCCATTAATATGATCTAATTAAGTTAGGTACATACTTTAAGTGCCCCTAATACTTCCGGGATATTCTATAACTTCTATGGCGACATAAAAAATAATACTGTAATTTAGATAACTAATTTAGAGTAAACTTCGAAATTTGATAACTCATATTAACCGCATTGATGCTATTTATAACTTATAAGGTATAAATATCTGAGTTGTTTAAATCGAATAAGTGCCGCTGTTATTTCATCGTTTACATGACATCCTACTTGGTGATCACACAAATGATCTTTATTCTCTTCGTACTATACACACTGTACGGTCCGAACTCAGAAGGCAGATATATGTAGTAGATGACATGATCGCGTGCGCGTGTTGACGTGTCTTGTATCGACCTAAAATTACGGTTATTTGTGGAAATAGATTTAACAATACCAGAACAATAATAAACACAGGCAAATATATTGAAAATACTAAATAAATGTTCTGTTTAAATATTAATTAGTTATTTTTGAGGCAATTAGTGTTTAAAGTTTTAGTGTGAGTCAATCTGTGAAACCCAAAATATATGCGAGATGCTCATGTTTCCGTCGATAATTATTTTTGTCCTACTCTTTTAATGAGTAGATTTTTATTTCATACGTAATGTATTTCATTGCTTGTAGAGTGGTTTCGGCCTTTTTTTAAATACGTGTTTGATGCTTACGTCTTATGTTCCTTTTTTAATTTATCAAAGGAGAAATGTAAAAAGTTAGCAGGGTGGGTGGTATTATACCCATTGCCCGGTATACTTGTAATAGAACAATAAATACACCTATACATTATACGAGAGTGCTCAATGGTTATCCATTGAATAATAATTCTCTATTCACTATTGTTATTTGTTATATCTCCATCCCTCTCTAACATGTGGTAACAAATGTGTACATTAAAAACTGTAAATATTGACAAATAAGTATACAAAAACGTAAAACTTAGTGGAGGCGGGTTGACAGTGTGTATTTTTAAATTAATTGGTGTCCCTGCAGGAGGCATAATTTAAGCCTCGTAAACTGAACTATTCTACTTTATGAAGAAAACAATTCTATTGAAACCACTTCAACTATCACTTAACATATTTTCAAGTCGATACATACACTTAAACATAACTCAGTCATTTGTCATGGTAGGTAATGTTATAAATAATTTTAAAATTAACCACTCCAAGCAGTTAAGTTCGGTTTTTACGCAGTCAGGAACAAAAATAATAATAAAATACTCACAATAATCATATAGCAGGCAAGACAAATCTTAAATATCCAAATTATTCCAAAAATAATTTGTTATTTGTAATACAAATAACTATTCTTATTGGTTATTAATTGCATATAAGTTATTAAATGTATGAAATGGCAACTTGATTTTTAAAAGATTTAGTCGAAGTTTACACAAAAATATCACGCTTTAATAATCTCGCAGTCATAAATAAATACATGTTGTCATGAGACTTATATAATATTGTGTAATATAATATATGGCTATATTTATAATTTGTTATAGTTAAATCAAACAATGTGACTTTAAATACTAGTGTAACTAGTTTAGTACTTAGTAGTCGTTTTAATTTTTAAAAAATGTACCTCGTGTTACCTTTATATGATTTTAAAAGGGAATTTCTGTTTGTATATGTATGTTTATAAATCCACCGTTTCCTACAAATCTATATATAGTATTTACTATTTGATATTTAATTATATTTAATTTTACTACCCTAGCTAATTAACATATTGAAATATGATAAGGAAACCTAATCACTCTCAGTTTTCGTACATTTTTGATGGATTTTTATAATCTTTTCGTTATGTATTTGTTGATTAATTGCCTTTCTATGTACGTATATAAATAAATTCTTATTATATTATTTAGACGTATACAGCAATTACAAAAGACAAGAACCGAATTTAAACGAGATAATTTATTGGAATTCTGTTACAAATTTATTTTAACTAAAATGATTAATATAATTCCCTTGAAAAATAAGCTTCAGTTACACATTTGCGATTTTTTTATCAATTTAACATAAACGTACAAATATTGAAATGATAAATCATGTTGGTTGTGAAATATACTCGAAATCACCAAAATAATAACAGATTATTTGAACATTATTTAACATTAAATATTAAGCAATAGTGTGCCATGCTGAGTTATCAAACACTTAGATAAGCGTAGCGAGCTAGCCTCAGGTGATCGTCACACTTCAAATTGTAAATTCGTTTCAGTGAAGACAAAACCATGAGAAATAAGGCTTATATTGTATTAATAGTGTTGTTTTGAGATCAATCTTGTTATGTTTCTGTGATATAACAATTGAATCTTTACGATGGGTTGCTGTGATAATTGCTGTGTGCCACCGAAAGAATCAAGTGAGTATTTATATAATGAATGCGATAAAGGTCGCTGTGTTGCTTGCTTACTTTTCACCTTAATAGATAAAATCATATTATTATTATTCTTTAAGTATTTCGTATAAGTATTTCAAAAACATTATATTACCACATAATTATTTATAGTTGTATGCCGATTTCGAGGAAATACCTATTGTTTTTATTTATTTGATTAAAATTTTATCGCAACGATGATAAAAATTATTAAGGAACGCTTGTGTGCAAAAGGTTACTATACAATTAAGGAGTTTATGAACGATAGCACACCTTGGGAATGAAACGCTCGCCTCCTGGCTATTTCATCTCATATTAAATTGTGTATATTGTAATATATGAGAGAAATATATATATATATATAAAAAAAAAACCCGCTGAGTTTCTTTCGCCGGTTCTTCTCAGGTCAGGGTATTTTCTTTTCCGAACCGGTGGTAGTCTCAAATGACCATCAATAAGAAAGTGTAATACTTCTATATTGAATAAAGTTGTTTGAGTTTGAGTTTGAGTTGAGTTTAATCTATCTTTAGCGTCCTCAACACATTTGATCATTTGGGTTCTCGTCATTCTCATTGAGTTACTATAATAATAATTTTAAAAAGGAAGCAATATTGTTGTAGATCCATAAACACGTAATCTTGTTTTTATTAAATGTAATACCTACAATAAATGACACGATGATATTCTATAAGTAGGTATTTGTCGCAGTGCTTCTTATATTTCCTGTTTCATTTTTCTTGTTTCTTTAATAACATTATTATATATCTTAGACATAACCCGTATACTATTTAAAAAAATATACAAAACTGTTATAGAAAGAAAGCGTAGTTGTTCCTCGTGAAAACTTAAGCAAAAATTTCATTAAGCAAGGCAAAAAACTTAAGCAAAATTCATTACCATCTAAACCAAATAGAGGCAACAAAATATTCTTTAAGATTATTATTTAATGTATTCTCAAAAACTAAATATGTCCACATTTTTATTGTTTTACAATGCCATTCCGCGTCGACGCCACAGGTAGATCTTTAGTGTTGTCTTAATGATATGGCATCAGTAAGATTTTAAATTGTAGTACAATAATATTATTATAGGTCATATGATCATTATGATAAATTAAATTGTTTGTCTACATAATAAACAACGTCATTATTTACATAATTTACTTTGCAAATGAAGAAATATTATTACTACAATATGACGTATTTATTATGTTACGACACCCAGTGCTCTAATTATACATATACGAATTAATTTTAAAGTTTCGAGTATATTCTTTAGTATAAAGAATGATAATTTGGTAATATTTTTTTCAGGAGAGCCTATAAAATATAATCCGGACTTCAACGGCCCGACCCGTAACCGATCATGTACAGATGTAATATTTTTGATTATGTTCATCCTTTTTCTTGGAGGCTGGGGCTTTGTCGGCTATTATAGTGAGTACTGCGCTAATTATCAGGCTATTGACGTCAACTAAGAATCTGGATTTAAGATGTAGTTTAATTCTGTCAAAAAAAAAATACGTCAAAAAATATCCATACTTTAACTTTTTAATTCTTTGTAACTTTTTATGTAATCGTATTTAGGTATAACACGAGGAAGCGTGGAGAAACTTTTAGCACCTATAGACTCGAAAGGCCGACGCTGTGGTGTGGATTCCGGCCTTGAGGATAGGAAATATCTTGTATTCTTCAACATCGCAAAATGTCTGTCGCCCGGCACTCCTATAACTGGTTGTCCCACTGCACAGGTAAGAATGTATTGTATTTAATATTAAAACATGCATCGTTCAGATATTTAATTCGTCTTTTATAATTCTGTATCGATTACAAGATGATATTCTTTTCATTACATTACATATTTTTATACATATTTCGTAAACAGTCTCTTAAATACAATTCTCACGTAATCATTTAAATGTCTTTTATAATAAAAATACCTATTTTTGCAACAGGTATGTGTGGAAAAGTGTCCTGAAAAAACTTTTATATTTGAAAAAGAGTTAAGACAAAATCCAGCTTCGTTTGAACAATTAAGGCAGAATATGGTGTGCACCGACGAAGTCACTAACATGCAAACTATGACGTTATCAGAAGCTATCACGTACATGCAGCAAGAAAAGTGCGCCAGTTTTGTGTTACAGAGTCAACCAGGTAAATTGATCTAATTACTATATCATCATTGTTTCGAAAATATCAAACAATCTTGGCAAATGGTTGTGTTGTTTTGACGTATTGAAGTGTGGCATGATAATCTTAAGCCTAAGATGATTGTGTCGCTTCGTCTAACTGAATGCAAAAGATAAATGATGCGCCCCAGTGTTGTACCGTTGCATCGGAGACCTATCAGCGCTATCCTGCGAGTCACCAGCCCGCTCCACCGACGTGTGTGTGCGGAACCCGAAGGAAGCCCAGAAGTCCTTGATCGAAGTGTTGAACGCCATCGATTCATACGTTGGCTGGTTCACCGCGAGCTGGGTCACGTTTTTCACGAGGAACGAGAAAGAAGCTCACATTGTATGTAGCAAGCATGGCTGCGGTCCTGCACGATCTAAGCACCGTTACCCGCATGTGCACCCGATGACTAATTCGTTATCCCTATTCAGAACATTCTATAACCTCATGGGCCTTCCGACGAACATCAAGATGTTGTAACAGTTATAGTCTTATCCGATAGAATATGCTTTGTATCTAACAAACCAATACATTAAAATCATCATACGTAAACGCTAAACTAATGCATGCTTACGGAACAGTGTTGGGTCGCTGCTTTGTTAACGTCACCGCGGCTGTTGAAGTCTTGCGAGAGGTTTCAGACCTCGACCTGGGAGAAGGACAGGTGACCGAACAATTCACCAAGTTGCTTAAATTCAATCAGGTAGCGTATATCACTTAGATTATATACAAACTACTTACTTAGAAATTAAAACATTATCACACTCATGCATGTCCGTGTTCACCGTAAAATAATTACCTTCCTTAGTATCCTCTATTTTTAATTTTTTATTAATTAGTACATAAATTATAGTATAGTATTGTAGATTTTAATTTTAATTTGGTATACTATACAGCAACTATATAATATATAACTATAGTATATACTGATATAGTACGGGTCGCAAGCATTTATCTATATATTGATTATTATCTACTGAACAGGACTTCTAATAATTAACTACATTTATCAGATCGAACCAGTTTTTAATTCCATTACACAGAATACAAACAATTATGAGTCATGAGCGTGTTATCAACAGTGATTTTAATTCGTTGCCGCATAACGCAATAGATTCAAGGTTTTTATGAAGAAAATAATTGAGATACGGTCGTGTAAATAGAGATTTAAAAACTCTTGAAGAGTTTGAGTAAACAAACTAGTTACTTGGTTAAAAATACGTTCCAATAATGATTATTGTGTGCGGCAGTTGTCGTCCCAGATAGTCCAGGATTTGCAGCAGTCCCGCTGGTACTTGGCCGGTGCACTGATCGGCATCGTGCTGCTATGTTTTATATACATACTGCTCTTAAGATGGCTGGTCGCACCCGTTGTATGGGTCTCAATCGCAGGACTATTCGCTCTTCTTGGATTTGGTAAGAAATTTATCATTTCAAAAGTCTAGATTTCATATTATAGAGTAACAAGTAAAAGTTTTGTAATGAAAACATTAAGAATATTTTAAATTACTTTAATGTTACAGTATATTAAACAATTACTATAACTATTGAATACATCAATTTATTAACGGTTATGGAGTGGGGGGTATAAATATTAACAATATGGCAACACCATTTATTTGTCATTTTATTTTTACATTTATTAATCACACCATGTTTTTATTTTCAGCCATTTATCTTTGTTACAAGAACTACATTTACTATAAAGAAAACGTCGGCTTGTATCAGGAAACAAATTTGAAGGGCTACGTGGAGTCAATATTCGGGAAATACCAAACATGGCTAGCCTTGGTCATTATATTGGCAGCTATTTTAATTATTTTATTGCCGGTTATCATATTTTTAAGAAGTCGGATAACGATAGCGATAGCTCTCATACGAGAAGGCAGCAAGTGAGTAGTTACCTTTACAATATCCTTAAAACTTCCTATGAATAGGTACAAGTTCACTTTTTTAAACTAAGTACGGTGCGTTACATTCAAGTACATACATATGTATATACTAAAATCTGTGAAGATTTAAGAATATAAACTGGAGACGTCTCGTATTTGGTTTTAAGTTGTGAACTTGTGGTAAGAGTTTACTGTAATGAATTAATGAGCTCAAGGTCGCTTTACTTGTACATTTAAAATGACGTCGCAAATTATCATTGAATTATAATCAAAGATATGTTTTAAATAACTTTCAATATAATTTCAGAGCGGTGACAGCCAACAAGACGACGATACTGTTTCCGATATTCCCTTGGATATTCCAATGCGCTATAATCGGTTACGGCGTGCTTGTCCTCATGCACTTGTTGTCTATCGGACAATCGGCCTTCCAGGTCGTTAACAAGAGAATCGATACCACTTGCGACTGCGGCGGCTTGTACACAGAGGTAACAATATACATACATGTAATTTGAACTAGGACGGAAAACCGTTGTCCTAGATTATACAGATTAATAAATTATTTTCTAATTACATATATTATATTTCTTCCAATAAATATATATACAGGGTGACTGGTGAATTACTATCGATACTTGAGGACGTGATATTTGACGATCATATATGACAAAATAAAAATGAATATAACATAAATATTAATAAACTTCTAAGTAAAGTTAACCAAAAGTTATGTAATTATTTACGCATCGTGTGAACACCCTACAGATTAGGTATACACACACACACAAATACGCGTGAGGCGGCGTGGTGTTGTATCAGCACGCCGCCGCACGCGTCCACACTTGGAACACTTGGAACATGTCCACACTTTATTTATTTATACGGAAATTTGGTCAAAAATTAAGTTCCTATTTTTTGTTACATAATTCGAATGAGAATCATGTACCGAGTATTCTCCTTAAATATTGATAGTAATTCACCCGTCACCCTGTATATTATTGTCATATCTAATAACAATAGTAGTTTAAATAAGATTTCAATTCTCTACGATAAATTTTATACTGTTTAGTATCGAAAATATATCTCCAAATAAGATTTTTTGACAAAGATCTTGTTTGTGTTTTGCATCAATCGATTTCTTATCTACAAACTACGTATGGTAAATACAGGAAGTCTGTAAAAACGAAATACTAATGCGTCTTTAACTATATTATCCAAAGGACGGCGTGTCGTGTGATCCAGTGAAGTTCGCTGCTAGTTGTCACGATATGTCTAACGCTCTGCTGCCGTGCGCCAACGCGACCTGTCACTACACGGGCGTTGACAGTCCACACTACATCATATATTTACACCGTTCGTATACATTGTTTTATCTAAAATTTGGAATGTTTTTAACAAAAAAAGTATGGAACCCTTAGTTCAATTTTAACAAAGCCAGACTATAAGACATTTATTTTGAGAATTTGAAATATACATAAAGGGTTTGAATTTTGTGTAATTAGTTGCAAATGAAAACTTAAAAAACTTAAGCTTGAAAATACTGCTAATGAAGTATGGAAAGATTATAGTTGAACATTTGACGTTGTATCAAAACAGGATGTTGGGTTCCATTTATTTGAATTACTTAGACTGAATGTATGTAGGTTTCAGAAGCTATTCTTCCTACAGACAGCTCCATATTTCTGCAACTCTCTATATATACATATGTGAATGGTTATAATAGATAAATCATACTTTTCTTACGTTGAAAAAGTGTCTTTTTTGGAGCTGGCATCTGGGCATTATAATAATGCAGTTTTACTTTTGTTTTCAGTCGTAAATTTACTAGGATTTTTCTGGGCAATGTTCTTCATAAGCGGTGTGGCAGATATGACCCTAGCAAACACATTCTCAACGTGGTATTGGACTTACAACAAAAGAAATCTTCCCTTTTTCACTCTAACATCATCAATTTATACAACAATTCGGTGAGTCAATTAATATATACACTTAATTTTTACTCCGCACTCGCCGGTGACAGCAAGGTCCCCACTTCCGTACGTCCCTCGCGAAACGTTTGACGGCCGCTGGCAGGCCCTCCTTCATTCACGACGTCCCAAGTTCGTGGTTCGAGCCACACTTTTAGCAGACGCCCTTAGAACTTACTAGGGCCTTCAGTTCATACTGGGCAGGTCTCAGGACTAGATTACTCTCTGTGATTCTGTCAAAGCCGTTATATACATGACAAAAAAAATATGTTAGTTACTTTTTTAGTCTATAACATAAATATCACAGAAAAAGAAATACCAACCTCTTTCTGTCTAACAATTACTTAATGATATAGAAAAACCATCAAAGATATACTGGCGTTTTAACCCACGAACTCCACAAAAACAGGGTTGATACAAGTTTTTGATATCGGTGTCTAGGAATGTGTATCTGTCGAGGACATAGTAGCACTCAAACGCTTTTTTAGTTTTTTCATTTGGAAGACAGTTTTTTTGCGGTGATTCTAAGCTATGTTTGGTTAATTTAGGTACTTTTCGGAATATTTAGGAATTTTTCGCCTGACACTTGTACCGGTATAATTGCTAAATGGCAATTTACGCACATGTATTTTATGTAATAAATTATAAGATTCTGCTATTTCTTTTTATATGATAGTGTAATGTCTAACACATATTGTAACAGCGACATAATTATTTAAAGTCCGTATTGGTTTTAGGTATCATTTAGGGACAGTTGCTTTCGGTGCACTCATAATAGCAATAGTCCGAGTTATCAGAGTTATATTGGAATACATAGACCATAAAGTGAAAAAGTTTGACAACGCTTTCACGAGAGCCATACTGTGTTGTTGTCGGTGCTTCTTCTGGTGTCTGGAGAACTTCTTGAAGTTCGTGAATAAGAATGCTTATATCATGTGCGCTATTCACGGAAAGAATTTTTGTAAGAGCGCCAGTGACGCATTCTCGTTGCTAATGAGGAATGTTGTCAGACTCGTGGTGTTAGACAAGGTAAAACATTATACATATTATAAAATATTTCCCTTAACAGTTGCGCAAAAAAATCTTTTACGTCTTTTATATTAAACTAGTTTTTTTTAAATCTCAGTCCAAAAATAAAACTACAAATGTGCTATTACAACTTTTATTTAAACAAATAGTTTAAATACTTCAATATCACTGCATTTATTTTGCATCCGTGTTCGTTATCAGAACTACAGACTACTCGTCGATATCTAATCGATTCTCAACACTACAGATATCTAGAAAGTACTTTCTCTTCCTATAATGATTGTTTCATGTATTACAGATGGCGGACTGGATATTCTTTCTGTCCAAGCTGTGTATATCCTTGGGCGTGGGTCTAGGTGTGTTCTATTTACTGGAGTGGGGCGCTCTGTATGAGGCGGGCGCCGCTCGTCTTCATCATCACCACGTGCCAGCAGCATTACTCGCCATTGCCACCTACCTCATATGTACAATCTTCTTCAACGTATACTCAACAGCTGTTGATACGTTGTTCTTATGTTTCCGTGAGTTTCATTTAATCTTTATATATTAAAGAAAGTCGTGTTACTTACAATAATTATAGCTCAAGAACGGTTATACGGGTTTGGTTGAAAATTGGCGGGAAGATAGCTTAGAGCAAAGGAAAGGACACAAGATATTATTCATCCGATTAGAAAAGAAAAAAAATCAGTTGATTCAATTTCGAAATCTTATTATCTACTGTCTTTAAGAAAAAATGGTGTTTGCGCGGCCAGTTATACATTTCTAATTCAAGTCGCGGAAAAAAACTAGTTTTAAATAAAACTTCGTTTTTTGTCTTACAACTATCTTTTTTATCAAGAGCAATCTATATAATAAAGTTATGTAGAAATTAAAGTCATTACAGACTATTTATAATAGATATTAAATTAACGTCTAAATATTTTTTTACAGTTGAAGATTGCGAAAGAAACGACGGTTCGGCGGAGAAACCTTACTTCATGTCGAAAAATCTTATGAGAATTCTTGGAAAAAGAAACAACATCGTGAAGTAGTATTAATTTTGTGATTTTTTCTATAAGTGTTGTGAGATATATTATATAACCAAGAACTTTTTGAAATTTCCTACTCGTATTTGATACAACTTTTTTATTAATTCCTATACAAAACATTTTAGTATAGTTTTAAATTAAACAAGCCAAATACCAAAGGCTATGAAAATTAATATAAAAATTATAAATGTAGGTTTTTTGAAGTAATTTACTTGTAAGTTATTTTTACTATTGTATTTTATAAGATTTTATATAATACGAGTGATATGATTGTTACTGATGTTAATTATAAAAAGTGCCAAATCAATGTCTTCATTTCTCATTTTTATACGTATTATAACAATATTAATATATCATTACCAAATTGATATTTTTTTTTATTCCTCACTGACCACAAAAATAAAAAACCTGTGTTGCCTGATTAGCAGATTTTTTTTAGATTTCAGTTAAATTAAGAACTCTAGAGATTCGTTTATTCTAACATTGCCAAAAAGTCGTACAAAACAAAAACAAAGCCTGTACTATTTAAAATCTTTATTAATATTTTCTTAACATCTAATCTTCAGTAATATCATTGAGCATGTGTTGTGTAAGGAACGCTATATCCAACATGGCTTCTGGGTCCAATAGTTCCTTCACATTATCATATTTGAGACTCTGTTCAAATGCAAACATAATACTAGTGTCGTCTAGCATCATCTTCGACGCCACCAGTGCACTGATACAGTTCTTAACTCTTGCTATGATCTCTCTGTCTGATCTTTTAACAGCCTGGAAAATAAAAAAATATATTATTTTTTTTCCTGCCCATTATTACGTAAGATTTTATTGACAGCAGAGTAAAATATACATTTAAAGTTACTTTAAACTTCCATTCTTATTCAGTTTAGAGTGTAGATATTTTGATGAGTTCAAATTAAATAAAATTTTAAGTTCATTCCTTTAAAGATAGATTGGATTTTTTAAATGCATTCTATTGTAGAAATTATAAAATTTTGCTAAACAAACATTTTTCATGTCTTTGCTAAGTTTTTATAAGAAGTCTATCAAACTTATGATACCTATATCAAGTATAAAATATCATTTGCTGCTTACTTGAAGATCATAGTTTTCTATTTCATCATGATTATCCTCCAGAATAATATCCTGTTTGTGGGGACTTATCCATATATAACCATTGTTTCCTATTATTATTGAAACACCGCAGGGCAAGTTGTGGAAGTGATTCTTTCTTCGCTTAATCAATGAAGGAAATACTTTAACTAGAACACCTTGTGATAACTATAAAACAAATAAGAGTTTAAAATTCGATGTTTTATTGAAAAAAATTATATTAATAAAGTTTTGCGAAGATTTTTTTGTACACTTCTATAATAATAAGATTCACCTTCCCATATTTCAAACTCCTTGTGTGTAAGGACAGAGAACCGTCGGAAAAAACACTTTGAACTTCAGCACTTATGAGATCTCCTTCTTGTAAATGTTTTCTCATCATTTGTTCATCTTCAGCTGATCTTCTACGCTATAGAAAATTGAAAATAAGATTGATTAATAACTTACAAAATTCTTCTGATAAATTTAATGTTTTTAATATAGGACTTGACCAATTTCCATGACAGAACTTGTTCTAATAACTTAATATAACAGAATCACATTTTATTAAGCATTTTATGTTTGTAAATGGTACTTAATCTAGTATTTAAACTGCTTTCTCTATAATATTCTTATTAAAAAAAATTTCAACAAATTTTTCTGCACCCCTATAATTTTAAAGTCCTTATTCACATAAGTCATAACTTGTAGTAAATTGTATACATTTATTACACAAACAAACTTCTAGTTGTTTAAAATGATGGTTTTCATATAACAACAAAGCTAATAAACATTTATATAAAAAGAAACAAAGCTAATAAAGACAATATGTAAGTTGTGACAACTTACCAATTCCCCTCCTGGTAAGTTTACAGATGACAATTGTAATATTGAATCTAAACGAGAGTTTGTCTCCACTTTCCATCTTTTTTGTTGAACTTCAAGAACACGTCCCACAATAACATCACCTATTTCTCCAACATATCTACTTTTCAACGGTCTAACACATATTAATTTGTTTACTTTTTGCATCACACCAGCAACTGATGATTTGAGGGAATCGTCTTCTGCATATGTTCCATGGCCACTTTAACATAATATTCTATTAATATAATAAAAAATAGATTGAAATAAAATTAATGGATTGTGAAATCAGCCTGAAATTATAAATTAACAATTCAATATTTTACCGCATAAAATCTTGCATGCCAGTTATAACCTCTCCCGGTGTATAAAACCGTGGTAATTCATTTGGACAAGGAACACAATGGTTTACTCGTTCCGAAGCCAATCTTATCGATACATGGCCAGTCATTATGAAAATTTAATATCTTAGCAGAACACACAATTCAATATGAGCACCAAAACATGCATGTATTTACTACTTACTACCACAGACCACTTTCAACTTTGTAATGAAATTTGTAAACACTAAACTTCCTAACTGTCACTATTCTTTGCGTAGATACCAAGGTATTAAGTATCTACATATGACATATTTTGTCACAGCTTCATAACTTTTAGTAATTATTACATATTACATAACTATAATTTATTATCTAATTTATGACATTACATACTCATAATTATCATATTTAACAGTGATATTTATAGAAAAGACAAAATTAGCCAGCGGTAGTAAGACTTTCTTAACTCTATTAAAAAAACTTATGTTTTAAGAGTCAATCCAGCTGTCATTATTACTTTTCAAATAGTTCATAATCTTTTTGACCACAATACCTAAAAGGTCTTTTAATTTTTTATTGAAGGTAAGATTACTAAAGTCATTAATTGTCAATCCAGAGCCATAAAAATATAAAAAAAAATACATTACTTGTCAAGGGAGTGTCAATTGGCAAAAGTCAAGTTCAGCTGCTGATGTTTATTTGGAAATGATAAAGCTAAGAGTTTTGTTTTGAATATCATCAAATCACGAGGCCTTGTGATTTATTTATATCATATTAAACACATTGTGTATTTAGTAAACGGATAATAGTTTATAATTTATATAAAATGTCTGTTAACGCACCGCCTATTACGGCAACTGATAGCCTTTCACAAGCTCTTAAGGCAAATATTATACCAAACCAAGAATATTTATTACAGGTCAGTAGAAAATAATATTTATTAACGCGAATTTATTAAATTTATAAAAAAACAAAGGCTCAATGTTATAAATTTAGGGTTCCGTGTTGGACTCAGCGGTGGAGGTACTACTACATCGTCTCCGCGGCTTGTGTGACAACGTCGATGCCGGTCCTGAAACGTTCGATGATCAGGAAGTCTGTTTTAGTTTACGAGATCCTAATCAACAGGTATTTTTTTTAATCAATTTTACATATGTATATATGTCACTTTCAAGTCTTTTGGCTGAAATTATTTGACACACAAAAATATATATGTCGGCGCAGTTGCCATTTTAATAATCAATAATTGAGGGTAGATAAATTATCAGGTGTCGTTCGCGTAACAACCTGTCCGAGTGAAGTCATAACAATGGCTGTTAGTCATTATAAATAGAGGCGAGATTACTGATTACAGAATAGTCGTGCTGGAGCCGTCGCGGGGATCGAACCTCTTGGAAGCGAGACACCGTCCCACCGGCTGTGAGGGCTGTGAGGTTACCTTCGATAGCCTCAAGGGCTGACGACATTCGAGAACAAACCCCACTGGTGACGTCAGTTATGCTCACGTCACTCATTTTAAAAATCACGTTTTGGCATCTTCTCCGACATATAATATATTTTTGAGTGTCTATATAACTCTGTTTCTGTAAGCTTAATATAGTTTATTAACTAAGGAAGTCCCTAGAGAAGAACTATTAGTATTTTCATATGAAGAATGTTATTTTTATTACATTTGCAAGTATCCTAATCCCAAAATTGTAATGATTTGTGTCATGCCTGAGAATAATCTGGATGTATTTATATCAAGTTTATTTATTGATATATGATAATCCTCTTTTAGTGGGATGATGGCCTGGTTATTATACACAAATCTATACATATTAAATATAATTGTACAATTTGCTAGGTTTCTTGGGCTGATAATTGAGACTTTGAAAGGAAAGTACTTAGTTATTTGAAAGTGGGCAATAAATTAATGTTTTAATAATTTTATAACTAAAAATCAAAAAATATATATTTCTAATTATTAAGTACCTACTACAAAATGGCTGTCAAATTTATTTATAAGAAACAACTCATCTCTTTATCTAACTTTTGAACCTTATTGTTGTTAACTGATTATACATAAAGCTAAAATGTATTTTATGATGAACGGTATATTTTATATATGTATTTTTTTACATTGATACTCATCCAACTTAATTGTTCATACACTTTGCATCAAAACCTCATATAGTCCCAAATCAAATTGCATTAATGTATAACTCTTGAAATCAACTCTTACCACTAATTACTTAATCAAAATAATACTTCAATATTTGTATGAAATGTTTCAGGCAGCACCTCTCATGTTACGAGTCCGGAAAGCTCTTGATGCAAGAGATATGCCATTCCAGTTACGATACATAGGTCAGCCAGATCTGGGTGATAAGAATAGACCAACGGTTGTGCGCTCCAGTCTCGATATAGCCTGCAGCGGCATGCTGATAGAGTTCCTCAATGAATTAGGATGTAGAATTGAATTTGAATACAGTGTTAAAGGTGATTGTTGTAGCTTTATGACTCATATTATTGTAACTGATCACAAGAATTACCTAATCGTAAAAAACTTAGTGAAAGAAATTATACATACAATAGAATCTTTTTTTAAAGACCTAATTTAAATTTAAAAACATAGTATTTGTACTTTTTTATGATTAAAAATATAGTAATAAGCTCCTTTTCTCTAAATCATTATTTACAAAATATGGATATTGATCTTAAATAATTTGATTTAAATTAAACTTACTATTTTAATTTCTCTGTAATTTCTTAAATTTTACATATTTTCCTCAATGTGTATTTGAAGGTTAATACATATATTAGATAATAATTATTGTCCTAAATTTTTTTATGCAATTGCCAGATTCATAATATTAATAAAATAAATCTATGTGAAATATTATTAAAACAAAGAGGTTATATTGTAAATTTATTGTATTTTTCAGGATACATGTTCAGAAAAGGCAGGATGAAGATAACAGTAGCGAAGGTGTTCAAGATATCACAGAGTTCAATGCCCCCGGAGCCAATATCACAGAGCTATCTGGTGGAGTTATCGGTAAACCAACATATACAAATATATAGTCATTGAATATAAATATATTTCAGAAGTTTCTATCTTTTGTGCAGGACCAATACATACTTTCTATTGTTATATTTGAGAATATTGTTTTAATGTTAATAGGGGGGATGATAGAGTCAGGATTATTTTAATGGTCAATATGACTAGACATCCCGATTACAAGATTTAATCCTTGAGATTCCTGTTGCAATCATTTTTTCTAGTACATAGAATATAATTTTATTTGCTGTTTACAAATTTTAACATTACAGACAATGTTTGTGATCCAAATAATTGTTATGAATATCTTCATTTTAAAATTGCATCCCTTGCCATTAAATAAAACTTGTATTAGTATTTGATAAATTTTACTTTTTTGTAGAATTTGTTATAAATATACTTTAGATGTATGAAATACAAATTGATTAGGGTAGGATAGAAAGGGGTAGAAATATTATTGTGAGGTTTTTTGGGTAACTTCTATATTTTTTTTTTTATAATATGGCTTTAAAAAACCAATTCATAAAATGTCAAATATATAATTCTTGATTCATATTTACTGAAAGTTAAATACAAATCTTCATAAACGGCTCAAAGTCATTTTGAGGGTTGTTTAGTAAATAATGCGATCTTCAGTTATTTCAAGATGGTGGATTTTCTAGGTGTTTCTTTTTTGTTTTGTTAACCATTCATCTATAGTTTAAAATGCAAAACATTGAAGCTTATATTTAATAGTATTAGGCCTTTAAAGGTCTGATACAATGTGTATTTATAAAGAACTAGCTTTCCGCCCGCAGCTTCGCCCGCGTGGAGTTCGGTTATATCGCGTTTCCAAGAGAACCTTTCAAAAGTCTGGGATTAAAACTATCCTATGTTCTTTCTCAAAGTCAACTCCATCTCTGTACCAAATGTCATTAAAATCAGTTCAGTGGTTTAGGCGTGAAAGCGTAACAGACAGACAGACAGAGTTACTTTCGCATTTATAATATTAGTAGGGATTAAATGATATATTTTTGAAAGCCACAAGTACATAAGTAAGCTAAAGATTAAGATAGTTTCAGCAAGTCTCATGTCCATACTTTTTTACCCTATTCTTCGACCTTCGTTATGTTATTACAAATAATAAGGAATATTGTGTTATATGATTAAATCAAATAATTACATTTACAGCAATATTATTATACTTAAATTCATAATATTATTCTTTCTTTTATTTTTTTAAATCTCTTATTGTTTTTGTAAGGTAAACATCAGTTTAGAAACAATTCTACATCTATCATTATGTATAAGAAAAAATATTCTAAATCAATATATAATTCATTTAAATACGCACATCACAAATGCTTTTCAATCATAAAAAACTATATCTAGTTTTATAACACGTAAGTATTTTTATTATTACAGGTGTTGGCACCTCAAGGGCAAGATGCCATCGGTGAAGACATGAGAGCGTTCGCTGATCAATTGAGACCTTTAGTACAGTTGGACAAGATTGATTACAAACGACTCGGTCACATGTCCGTTACATAGCCAATGTACCTTGGTTAAGCCCTCTTCACACTAACCTACACTTGATATGAAGTGTGAAGCCGGCTTAATAAAAAGTTATGTTTCCATAGAGCAAACGACCAGAGACAATATCAGTGATTTAAGTTTGAATACAGTTCATAATCATAATAGTATAAGCATGTTACTAAAATATTCTGAATAATAATTTTATGTGTAATACTATGCTCTTTGTATTTATACAGGGTGACTGGTGAACTACTATCGATACGTGAGGTCGTGATATTTGACGATCATATATGACAAAATAAAAATTAATGTAACATAAATATTAATAAACTTCTAAGTAAAGTTAACCAAAAGTTATGTAATTAATTACGCATCGTATGAACACCCTACAGATTAGGTATACACACACACACACACACACACACACACACGCGCGCGCGGCGGCGTGTTGTTGTATCAGCACGCCGCCGCACGCGTCCACACTTGGAACACTTGGACCGTGTACACACATTATTTATTTATACGGAAATTTGGTCAAAAATTAAGTACCTATTTTTTTAACATAATTCGAATGAGAATCATGTACCGAGTATTCTCCTTAAATATTGATAGTAATTCACCAGTCACCCTGTATATGTTAAAAATGATTAGCATTTGTAATTACGTTCACTGAATAAAGTTATAAGCAACGATTAACATAGTTTTATTATTATAAATGTATATATTATATTTTTCCATGCTTATAATTATTATACAAAGTCTTTATTCTTCTTTGAATTTTTAATAGCGTAGTGGTCCTCCATGTAATCTGCGTCTTCAAACTTTGTTCCGTGCACATAAGCAAAGTTTCCGAAATATAAACAATTTTCATATTTCATTTGAACATAATCTAAAAGATAAAAGTGCGATTAAAATTTTTGAAACCATTGTATAACATAAAAGATTTTTAATTTCAAATTGAAAATGAGACAGAAAATAAAGAATATAATAACATCCATTTCTGAACAGAAATAGAATTACTTGTAAAGAAAACATTGAGCGTAGCAATTTCTGAACAAGGAAGTGACGTAACTAGATAGATTTAAAATTATTTTTGTTTCATTATGTTGTGAACAGTATACATAATTTAGTATGAAAATTTTTGATATATTTGAACATATTTAGGGTTGAAAGACCATTAATATAAAAACCACACAATAAGCTGCACAATATTACTAGTTAGCTTTGGAAGGAACTTAATATTTATCTAAATACTTTTACTGAACAAGTCTTTCGAAAAAAGTTTTTATAGTCTTCTCTATTTTTCAATTATATAAGTTCAAACTGGATAGATTACGCTCACCTTCGCAATATTTTTCATTCATGGAAACAAAATTAATATTTTCGATTTTTTTAAACTACATACCTACTCCCGACGTTTCCGTTGATTCCGGCAGACGATGTCTGGTATGAGTATTTAGTTAAAATCTATACTAATATTATAAAGCTGAAGAGTTTGTTTGTTCGAAAGCGCTAATCTCGGAAACTACTGGTTCGAATTGAATAATTCTTTTTGTGTTGGATAGTCCAGTTATCGAGGAAGGCTGTAGGCTATATAACATCACGCTACGACCAATAGGAGCAAAGATATAGTGGTAAATGTGTAAAAACGGGAGAAATTATTTCATCTTTGAAGACTTCCGTTGCGTTCGCCGTGAAAACGGTTCAAGATACACAAAAAATATGTATTAAAGAATAATAGCTCTTTTAATGATCTAAAAAACAGTCCGCGACAGTATATGTCTATCTTTTAAGATTAACTCACAAAAACTGTTTTTATGGTACCTAATTTGGTCGAAATAATTTGTTTAATTCTTATCAACATAATAATATTAATCTTTATTCAAATAAACAAATAAATATGTTGTTGGTTAAGAGTACTTCATTGTGAATTTAAAAAAAAACATAGGTTTTATTATGAAAATTCTACGGGAACTCGACCATTCCGAAAACCCCGCAAGAACGGGAACTATGTGGGAAGAACCAAAAATCTGCCGGAAGTCACTATTCCACGCGGACGAAGTCGCGGCAAAAGCTAGTAATTAATAACGAGTGAATCCGAAAATGTTAGATTTATTTCAACCGTTGTATATTAAAAGTTTTAATCCCTTATCTTTGTAAATTAGTATTTTTAAAAATAGTGACAAGGCTGTTTTGGACGAGATGGGAAGGTGTGGAAAGCTTTTACTTATCCTGTGAAAAAGTTTCCCAGCTGAATAATTTTTACTCGCAATTCTACCTGTGCCATGAATGCAATCGTAAAGGTCCATGACGCACTGATTGTCGAATATGTATGTTTGATTTGTTCCGAAGTCGAATGCGCATATCTTGTCGAAGTATGTTGGACATACACCGCACCTACAAATGAAAAACTGTTGTTTGGTACATACAATAAGACAATCAAAAATATATGGCATACGTTCCAAAACCTGGTACATACGTATATTTGGTTTTTGGTTTGGTTTGGTTTATATTTGGTTGCCTATGTTCAAATAGTATGAAATAAAATACAGTATTTTAATACAATACAAACCTCATACCCTCTTCTGGTTCTCTTTTAAACACTAAGCCAATATCCTCATAATGCAACGTTTCGGAAACGTCTGTAATTTACAAATGTATCAACATAATTCAGGAATAAGATCAGCTAAATTATACAGCCTGTTCAACTTACACAATATTAAACAAAGCCATACCACTCTCAATGACATGATTGTAAAAGTACATCCGTGAAATGGTCAACGTCAAATCTTATCTTTTAATTAAAATCCCCGATTTATGTTTATACATATTCCGAGATATAAATATTTATATTGGCATTATTCGATTAAAAATTATTTATACGTCAATTAGACTGCTTACGAGTAGAAAAGAAATTAATTTTAACCCATTATAATAAAAAAGTCAAGGTATCTCGATTGTCAACCAGTGCATAAGTTTGGTCCGAAGATTAAAGTCAAGAAGAAATCTACAAAACTAACTTAAATTCTACATTCGTTTTGGGTATAAAATATATAGTGAGTCAAGTAGGTAGTTAGTAAGGAAACAAATAGTGAAAATCGTGACATGCATTTAGAACAATCCCGATCATATGACTCATTGACGTTTCTCTATTGAAAAACCCTTGTTTTGTTACCCGTTATTTGTTTAGTAAATTTTAACACTCACACATCCAGAAAATTTTCCTCGTACTTATCAAAATGAAGAAAATGTAAAGGAGGTAAAAATAATCTCATATTTATTTTTCAGTTTGGACTTATAACTTTGGACAGGTGACGTATTGTCAAAAAAAAAAGTGCAAAAAAAAAAAGTGCAGGTGACGTATTGTCAAAAGAAAAAAAATGCAAAATAATAATAAAAACAACGTCAGGTTTATAATAACTTCTACAAAAAAACCTTAAACTTCCAATTTACTTCACAAAATGAATATACCATGAGTAAGTTCTAATAAACTAGGGATATAAAAATGTTAATTGTCCTTAGATCTCGCCATTTCGCAGGATTAGTCAGGATGTTGCGTCACTCGCCTTGCATAATAAAACGATTAACGATCAGTATAAAAACGGGTTATGGATGATAGGAAAACATATAAGCAATTAAAAAGATTGATCTGAGAACTAAGTTGACTGTAATGTAAACTGTAACATTTAATTTTGCTGTTGTAACATTTTTTTAATAAATCAATATTAATTTATAGGAGTTCCAAATTGGCATAAATAGTCCAAAAAAGCAACCGACAACATCATCGTTAACATAATTAACAAAACGATTCATCCTTTAAAACTACGACGTAGTTAGATATAATTATGCAAAAAGAAATAAAAATGGCACTTCTTTATTTTCAAATAAACAGGTCTTTAAAGTAATAACATGGCGGACATATTTGCAACAAATGTCCACTCGGAGCTGAATACAGCGACGTCGATTATTATTATCTGTTTTGTGATTCACACTGCGTAGACGCACAAGCGTAGCCTGCACGTAGGCAGCTTGTGTTGGTGTGCCTCCAGATATGACACAAATCACACTTTTAGTCATCAAATTTTAGCGAAACCGGTTGTGGTTTTGGGAATCTATTTAGATATATACAAATTACAATTTTATTGAAAGCCAAAGATCGTTATGTCTAACTTTATTCTCAATATCTTTCTCTCACATTATTATGTTCAAAATCACAAATAAAACATGTTGAGTCATAAATATAGGTGTATCTATCTATATAATAATTGGAATAAATAAGCTACGTTTTCCTGTTTCTTGTCCTCTCATTGAAATTTCGAATTTTAAAAAATCTGATTACTGACCAATCTGTGTTGCCATATATAGTTACTATAAATGCATATATGGTAACTGAAGATCTTTTATAAAAACATAGTAAACAATATTTAAACACAGTCTATATTGTTTTTCTATGAATTTCCTCTCATAAACAATAATTACACATAGTTGTGTATGGCGGTAAAGCCGGTAGACTTAGTGGCGGGCCCCCGTTCACCTTGAGGTTTGAGCGCACCTATCCATTCACTGGAGGAATTAAAAATGATGACATTTTAATTGTTTAATCGAATGTAACAACTAGGCTATAATCTTCGTATATACTGATTCATTATGGAAAAATAAAATGATTTGTCACATTATATTTAAAAAAAAAATTGAAGGATTGCAATACCTCGAAAATATTTATTATATTAAAAACCATTATATTTTGAACAATCACAAAAGTAATTCGTTGCATTTACTTGATGCATTTTAATATCGTTTAAGTATTGGTCGTCCTTATTGATAGATTTTACGTAATTCTATTATAGATTTCAATTGTTGTTTAGATTATTATTAATTATCTTATCTACACTATACATATAGAAAATCAAGACATCTTTAATTGTTATCACAGTTTTGATGACTAAATAATTATTCTTTTAATCATATAAAATGTATTGAGTAGTTGTAACTTGTAACGAAATCATGTAAAGTAATTTATGAAATCACTAATCTACACATTTCAATTCTTCAAAACGTCAATGCATTTATTACTTTAGCAAAA